GGGGGGGGGCTCAGCACCCCCTTTTCTCCGGCGCGGTGGGGGGCCCGATGTCACCTGGTGTGTCCCCTCCCCGTGGGGGACACGCGGCTGCCGGGAAGGACGGGGCTGGCGAGCGGCAGTGACTTTCTGGGGACACTTTCCACGGGGTGACAACCCCCAGTGGGGTCCCCAGACAGTGCTGGTGGGACGTGGTGGGCGAGCCGGCTGCGGAGGAGACGTGCCCGGGGCTCAGTGGGGCCCATCACCCGGCCTGATTCAACCACCGATTTTTAGCAACTGGACAAACTGGAGTTACTGGGAAGAGTTTTCTGGGTGCTATGCCCTTGGCCCCCTCCTCATCCCAGGGTGGTGGCAGGAGGATGCTTGTGGGTGACTGTTGAGCTGGGGGAGCTCCTGCCCACACCCTGGTAAGCCGGGGGTCTGATTTTCCAGCCCTCCTTTCAGGTGGATTTGGCCTTTGCAAATCTCCAGCTCCTGGAGTCAGGGGATTGTGGCACCCTTCGCTCTACTGCATTAAGCCAACGAGGAGTGTTTGAGAGGGTGACAAGCAAAGGAGACCCTCTACAAACCCAGCGGGTGCCAGCAGAGCCCCTCGAGGAATATTTTGCAGCAATTGGGTGTTTTTAGGGCCCCGGCTGGTGATATTGGGGTAGGCAAGGAGGTGCAGTGGGGCAGCTCCTAAGAAGGGAGTGGGGCTCTGCCCGCGCCGTGTGCAGGGGAGGCCTATTTATAGCCAAAAATGTCTGTGGAGTGTCAGCACGTGTGTGTGTCACCGCTCAGTGCGCTGGCGGGTTAGGTGACATGGGACAGTCCTGGCACGGCCGGCATCTGCACCGACTCCAGCCCTGGGGAAACCCAAACCTTCACCCGCCGGGTGAGAGTGTGGCCGGGGAGCTGCAGCCGGAGCAGGGCCTCGCCGGCCGGAGGAGCTATGCCACGTCGTGCCCAATGACCCCATGCTGTGCTGAGCGGCCGTGCCGAGCGGGGACCATCTGCTGCCGGCCCTGGCCGTGTGCCTGGGAGGCAGGCAGCTGTCGGGGGGCTGTGGGGATGCCCCCCAGCAACTCTGCCCCTTCCCGATGGGGCTGGACCGCTGCGGACCACTTGCTTGGTGGGGATGCCAAATAAAAGTGTTAATTGGTGAAGCGAAGCTTCTGGGGTGATGCCAGGCAGCGGGTTCCAAAGGAACCCACCAGGCTGTGGGGGGAGGTGATGGGGCAGCTATTTCGGGGTGGTTTGGGGGACCCCAATGTGCTTTCATGCACTGGCAGCCAGTGTTTCAGCAACACGCTGTGGTGGCAAGGGCTGAGCCAGGAAAGGGGCTTGAGGGTTCTGTGGGTTGGCAGGCACCAAACCGCTGCGCCTGCTGCACTTGGGGTGCAGGGGGGACATCACCTGGTCCCGGTGGGGGGACCCTGGCAGCAGCACGGTGCCAGCCCCTTGGCCGGGAAGTGCTGATTCACGGCGCCGAGCCGCCGGCCGGGGAAGGCGACGCTGCCCTGGCCCCGGCTGCAGGATGCTTGCGGTGTGGGGCTGGCACCCCGGCACTCTTGGCTTTCCTCTCACCGAGTGGGCAGAATGGCAATCCCCCGGCGGCGGGTGCCGGCGGTGGCGTGCCTCTGCCAGACGGGGCTTGTCGGAAGGCGCCGGTGCAGTAGAGGGAGATTTAAAGGGTTGGAGAGTGTCCGCGTTTGAAATGCACGCTGATGGCTCCCTTGGGCCTCTCTGTGGCCCCCTTCAGCATCATCTCCTCCTCCTCCTCCTCCTCCTCGGATGCTCGTGGCCGTGGCCCTGCTGTGGTGATGGTGTGGGGGAGGCCCGGCCAAGGTCTCCCACTGGGATGGCAGCGCCGGGCTGCAGCATGCCGCAGAGACCCGACACAACTCAGCACAGCCAGCCAGTCTGTGGCATCCTGGCAGACCAGCTGCAGTTCCTGTGCTTTGGGGGGGGTGGGGGATGCAGGGGGGTGCCCTCAAATTTGGGCTTCCCCAGGGCTTTCCTCCTGCAGAACAGGAGGGCGAGCCTAGTGCCGTGGCACGGTGGGCTGTGAGCCCCACTCTTGCATGTTCCAGCACATGCTTGCATGGCCTTGCACACTCTCGTGCGCTTTCTTGCATGCATTCGCATGTCCTTGCTTGCATGTGCATGCTCCTGCATGTCCTTGCTCACATGTACACACTCTGGCATGCTTCTAACATGTCCTTGCTCACACATGCATGCTCTAGCGCACTCCTACATGTCCTTGCACGCTCTTGGGTGCAAGCCAGCCCCTGAGGCAAGGCCCTGCCTGCATGGCTGCGATTAGGGTGCAGGTTGAGGAGATGGGGCCCAGCCCAGCCCTTGCCGGCCCCGATAAAGCTCCCCTGCCTGCCGGCTGTTGGGGGGTCCCGAGCCAGGTGGCCACGGGCTGTCATGACTCATGGGGACACACAAGAGGTTTGGGGGTACCCAGGTTTTCCTCAAGCTGCACCACGCACCCGAGGGCTCCTGGCAGCTCTGCGGTGCTGGGGGGAGCCCCAGCCTGGCTCCCCACACCCCTTGGGGGCCCCCAGCAGCCACCTCCTGCCCAGCCCAGCCACTGACAGCTGCTTGCTGGCATTTTTAGATACCAGCCATGTCCTATCTGTGTCTCAAATGTCCCCGGGGGCGAGTGGCCCCCCCCACCGGCAGCTGTCACCCGTTTTGTGGGTTTTTTTGCGGGTGCTGGTGAAGTCCCTTCACAGCGCTGGCATCAGGGTGGGTACAAGCAGCACCCAGTTCCCCCCTGAGGGTACCCAAGGGCTGGGGGCACACCCCTGGGGACCTGGCCCAGGATGCTGGGTGGGGGAGCACCTCTGTAAGTCGCTGTTGGCATGGGAGGTTCATGCCAGCAGGGTGATTCCCCAAGTGTGCGGCACCCAGGTGCCCCCCAAGACCTGGGTGGGGGCGAGTTTAAATCCCTCTGAGCAGCTTAACCAGCAGCTTTGAGCCACAAATCCCCACGCGCAGCAGGGCCGGCGAGGTGCCGCAGTGATGCCCATGGCCCCCTGCTCTCCCCCAGGGGCCTCTTGCCAGTAGCCAACGGCCACCCGGCTGGGGGACGCCGGGACCATGACCTCAGCGAACGACTACGAGCAGCTGGAGCTGCAGCAGCCATACAGCCGCATCAACGACCGCTGGGAAGCCTCCGACGATGAGCTGGACAACGACAACAGCTCAGCGCGCCTCTTTGAGCGCTCCCGCATCAAAGCCCTGGCAGGTCAGGGATGTGTCTTGGGTCTCCTCAGTCATCCCGGGTTGTCCCTGTCACCCGTGCCACTGTGCCCACTCTCGTTGCAGACGAGCGGGAGGCCGTGCAGAAGAAAACCTTCACCAAGTGGGTGAACTCACACTTGGCTCGTGTCACTTGTCGTATCTCGGACCTCTACATGGACCTCCGGGATGGGCGGGTGCTCATTAAGCTGCTGGAGGTGCTGTCAGGAGAGCTTCTGGTAGGATTCCCATCCTGCTGGAGACCCTGGGACCCATGTCATGCCATGCCATGCTCCACCAAGGCTGTTGACCTTGGTGTTGACCAAGGCTCCACCAAGGTTGGGGTGGCACAGGGGTGTCCCAGGGCAAGGGTGGGGGGTGCCTGGAGTGGAAGGGGAGGGTGCTGAGTGTTGTACCCCAGCCCAAGCCCACCAAGGGCCGAATGCGGATCCACTGTCTGGAGAACGTGGACAAGGCGCTGCAGTTCCTGAAGGAGCAGAGGGTCCACCTGGAGAATATGGGCTCCCACGACATCGTGGATGGCAACCACCGCCTCGTCCTTGGCCTCATCTGGACCATCATCCTTCGCTTCCAGGTGGGGCCGGGTGGGTGGGAGGCACCCCGCAGCTCAGCACCCCATGGCTCATTCCCGAGCGGGAGCCCTCTTCCATGGATGTCCCCTTCTGCCCCCAGATCCAGGACATTATCGTGCAGACCCAGGAGGGCCGGGAGACACGCTCTGCCAGGGACGCGCTGCTGCTCTGGTGCCAGATGAAGACAGCGGGGTAGGTGGTGGCACCCATACCCCACTGTGCCACTGAGTGGGGGTGCCTGGAGGGTGACAGTGACACCCTGTCCCCTTGCAGGTACCCCCATGTAAACATCACCAACTTCACCTCGAGCTGGAAGGATGGGCTGGCCTTCAACGCCCTCATCCACAGACACAGGTAGGCAGCACAGTGGTGGGCAGTGGGATGTGCCAGGGCACCAGTGGCACCAGGGGATGTCCCACAGGAGCGCTACTGCTGCCCCATGCCCTCTGTCCCCAGGCCAGAGCTGGTTGACTTCCAAAACCTGACCAAATCCAACGCCCGGCACAACCTGGAGCACGCATTCAGCGTGGCGGAGCGCCACCTGGGCATCACCCCGCTCCTTGACCCCGAAGGTGAGGCTGCCACTGCCAACCCTCCTGCCTCAGTTTCCCCATTACACCCTGGGACATGCTCAGGCCCTGTGGAGGGACAAAGAGGCTTCCACGCTATGGAAGGGGGGGTCTGGGTGGGGACCTCACGAGGCCGTGGTGGCCCACTGCTATTGGGGTGATGCCAGGGCGATGCAGAGGCTGGGTGAGGACTGATGCCTCTCGCTTGCACTGGGCAGATGTGTTCACAGAGAACCCTGATGAGAAGTCCATCATCACCTATGTGGTGGCCTTCTACCACTACTTCTCCAAGATGAAGGTGCTGGAGGTGGAGGGCAGGCGTCTGGGCAAGGTAGGG